GGATTGATCCACATGTAATACGTCATATATTCGTGGCCCTATAATAAAGCATATGCCAAACCACCGCATCCACATACGCAACCACACTCTTAGTCGTGTAAGCGGTGTGCAAGATGCCACAGCAGCTACACCAGAAAATAAAATCGGATAGGTAGGAAATGCAGTTCGGCTGTCGATAACCAGTGGAAATCATGAACTAGTAATCGATATCAGTGACAAAGAAAGTGACCACTCAGTCCGCTTATGAAGAGTAGGCACGCAGGATTCCCACACCGACCGTCCGGATGATGCTGATATAATTACCATTATACGCGAAGGTGCATTGTACAACTTTCCTACTGAACATACCAATAGTCGCTTCACAGAAATCCTCATTTGCAACTTCCTGAGCCAAATTTGCACCCATTAAAACTGCTGTATCAATATTTAACAAACTGCGGATTTCTTCAGTCACCAAACGAATTCCGCCTTTCTTTTTCTGAATCATAAAACCCTAAAAAAAATTTTTATGCATTCACAGCAGCGCCGTATTTCTAGGCTGTACAAACAGAAAATACTAAAAATTTAAAAGCGAAAGTACTCGAGAAATATCTGAGTGGTATCAAGTGCTAAAGGAATTACCAGCTGAGAATGCTATAGGCGTCTCTTCCTTCCGAGGATTGATTAGAAGTGAGCTAACGCCGGGTTTCATTGTCCCGCATGTGCCTGGACCATTTTACTATCGAAACGAATGGCTCAGCAAGAGATTAATTGTTCTACTAACAGAATCGAGTTCATAATCAGCAGTATTAAACAAAAAACCGTCTATCACCAAACTATGCTGATGAGCAAAGTTACCACTGAATGGGTAATAAAGAAAAAGCCAGAAAAAAAAAAACAGGCGTATTCCCAAAATGACTTTCTTCTTCTGCACTGACCTTGATAAGTGAAACAGCAAGAACATCTTCTCTGAGATGACCTTTTAACTGATTACAAACATTCTCTACAAACTGATGCGGTATGACAAAAATGAGCATATCGCTGTCTTTACAAGCGTCCATCAAGTCCGGTACAGCTACCTGAAGTAAAATCGCCTTTAAGATGCTAATTTCCAAAAAAAAGAGGGCAAATTTGTGGAAATCAGCAGTCTCAAATCGTGATTCTCTGCCACTTTTAAAACCAATAATTCACGTTTTAACCACCGGTGTAGTGACAGAATGAGAGG